AATTTTATACCCGAAAACACAGAATTTTTATAACTGAAAATCTCCATGTTTCGAATGTACAGAATTATATAATAAAAAACACAGAATTTTATACCTGAAAACACATAATTTCATAACTGAAAATTCTCATGTTTCGAATGTATAGAATTATATATTAGAAAACACAGAATTTTATACCTGAAAACACATAATTTTATATCTGAAAACACATAATCTTTTTTAAAATGATAAAAATCCCTTGTTCCGAATGTATAGAATTTTATACCTGAAAATACAGAATTTTATAACAGAACACAAAACAACGTCGTTTTGGGAGGCTCGGGGCGCACATTGCTATGTGCACCCTGGTGCACGGTATAACGATTGTTGTTCCTCTCGCTTGAGTCATGCTACCTTTTAGGCCCCAAACATCAATTAACTCTTGAAATTCTACCCTCTGGCCCAATTGTCTTTGGACCTAGATCCCCAATCATTATTGAATGGATCATGGTCTACACAATTGTATGAAACATAAATAAAAAGTATATTTTTAATATACTAAAGGTACATTATTTATGTATGTAAGGTACGTTTTTTGAAAGTACATCTTTAATATGCTAAGGGTACATTATTTTATATAATGTACCTTTAGTAATGTACTTTTAATAAAAATGTACCTGATATTCATGGTCCACACAATCATTTGTCCTAGACCCCATAGCTCGATTACGAGTCTTCCATTTCACGGTCTCTGCACTCATCCAGTTGAATTGTAACTTTTCTATTGCTCGCAGTCATTCTCAATCTTTGCTCTTGACTTTGACTCCATAGGCTCTAACCGTTGTTCGGGTTGTCAAATGTTCCAAAATAAAGCCTTCCTTCCAACCGCTATTCAGGGCTATTCGGGTTGTAGGATGCTCCAAAATAAAGCCTTATGTATTCTTTTTCAAAATAAAATCTTCCTTCCAACCGTTGTTTGGGTTGTCGCCTTGTCGGATGCTTCAAAATAATGCCTTCCTTCTATCTCCTTTTCCTTCCTCTATACCACATTTCCCTGCAGTCATCATATGCTCTAATTGCTCAATGCGAGATCTTAGTCCAACCAACTCTTATTAGAGGCTTAGAGCTTCATGGGCCTACCTATTTCTCTTTTAGATAGTCATAACAATCATGCGTCTTGAATTCTCTTTCTTGTGAAGCCTCGGAGTCCACCATGGCTCTTGCTAGGCCCCTGGGCCAATAGGCTCTTCACCATGACTTTGTCCCAGTAGTTTCCTTGCACGTAGTTCAAAAGATTTTTTTTATTTGCTGCATTCATTACATGCGAGCCCACCATGGATTTATTTTTCGTCTCCCCTATATGTAAGCCCATTAAGGACTTTTTACCGCATTCCTTGTATGGGGACTTCTTGAACCGCCTTCCTTGCATGCAAACTCAATTTGGATTTTCTTCTGCCTTCCCTACGTGTGAGCCGAACTAGGATTTTCTACCACCTTCCTTACATGCAAACCTATTGGACTGCCTTCCATTCATGCAGGCCAACTAGGATTTTTCACCACCTTCCTTACATGCAGACCTATTGCACCGCTTTTCCTACGCGCAGGCGGCAGGCCCAACTAGAAATTTTTACCACCTTTGTTGCGTGTAGCTCCAACAGGAATTTTTTACTGTCTTCCCTACATGCGGACCCATTGGGTTGTTTTCCCTGCGTGCTGGCCTAAGCAGGATCTTTTGCAGCCTTTCTATGTGCGGTTCAATTCCAACTATGATTTTTAGCCGATTTCCCTACGTGCAAATCCATTGGGCCGCCTTCCCTACATGTGAGCTCAATCGAGATTTTCTACTGCCTTCCCTGCGTGCGTGGCCATGTGGCTCGAGTAGCTCATTTTCATTCTCCTTTTTTCCTTTTTTTTTTCTTTTTTTTTTTTTCGACGCATTGCCTTCCCTGCACGTGGGCGTGTTGAGCCAATTTCCCCACGTGTAAGCCCAACTAGGACATTTTTTTACCGTTTTCTCTACATGCGGGAGCTTATTAGGTCTCATTCTCTACATGTGGACCAAATAAGGATTTTCTACTTCTATCCCTTTAGGACGTTGAACATTCTAGATTTCTTCTTTATGCCTCCAATTTTTTTTTTCTTTTTTGACTATCTTAAATCTACCCGAGCATTAGTTGATAACTATCTATTTTCCTCTTTGTTGCCCCTCGGTTCGAGTTTCCTCTTTCATTTCCAGGGGACCCTAATGTGGGCCAATGCCTACTCTTTTCCTTGCCGTACCTATAAGTATTACGTATGTACGTGCTCGGTATCTGGGGAGCTGTTGAGAGGAATTATTTGTTGGGTAACCGTTGGTAAAACGAATAATAATCCTATAAAATAAGAATTATTATATTCTGTAGGAAAAAGGGGAAGGAAAGGATGGAGAGATAGGCTCGTGTTTGGAGTAGGGTTTTTAGCACGAGTCAAATGATCACTCTTTCCTTAAAACCTTATTTGCTACCTCTCACAAGTGTTAGGACCGTTGTAGCTTAGGTTTCCCAGGATAAAACGTGCTACGATTCAGTGTTTGAGCACCCAAACAAAGAATCCGCCGAACTAGAGCAACGGGATAAACACAGTTAGGCTAAGAGAATGCGAGAGTTTTGAGGCTGAAAATATTATTTTCGTTGTTGTTAAAATTTGCTGCTCTACCCTCTCTTATATAGGGTTGAAAGAATTCAATAGCAATCAAAAATGACATTTAAACACCCCTGTAACAGCACCATTACCCTGAGAATTAATTCTGTAATTTAAAATTGGAATTAATATGAAATTAAATCCATAACAACTGTTCCAGAAACGGTAGATGTTTACCGTAGTATAATGTACTGAGGTCGGTACGGTGCCAGCGAACACAAGCTTAGGCTTGAGTCAAGCTTGATTGCACCCCCTGCGCGCGAAAGAGAGCCTCTATGCTATACAATTCAATAAGCCTTAAAAGAGCTCTTGTATAAATAGTGAGACAAATCCTCTTCCCAAACCAATGTGAGACAAAAGCTTCACTTTTTCCCTTCATTTTTTCAACTTAATGGGGTCTACTTTGAGAATTAATATCTCATTCACCCATTATCCGTTTTGAGCGTACAATATATCAATCTCTTCGTCTCACAACGAATAACTTGAATCCACTTTGACCCGACTCATTTCGAAAGTGGACTCCACTGATAATTGTACCACAAAATAGCGACTTAACATGCCATTTATGCCATTTTAAGTTATTTTTTCCAACATTATTCTCGAGCATTTATCGACCTTGGATCAACCCGACCCGAACTATCATAAAGGGCCCAGCAGGGGCTTAATTAGCAACAATAGTTCTCTACCTTTAGAGTATAATCGATCATCTTAGGTTGGGGCAAGACACCCGACATTCTCCACTTAGAAAACGGATCCTCATTCCCCTTAGTCAAACCCAATTGCGGCAAGAACGAGGGCGTCAGGAACCTTAGTACACTTGGAGGAATTAGTGAAGCCTCCAACCTGCCCCAGTGCATGAGCCACACGTGTTGCACATACGGAGCTTCCGGCATGTGTCCCCTGTTAGGATCGAAACGGGTTCATAACACCAAATTTACAATAACAACTTGAACTGGAAATATTGAGAATAAATTTTAGTGTAAGATTTAAGATAAATCATACACATAATATGACAATTTGAAGAAGATTTTTTTCTATATTGACAAAAGGATATTACAATAGGAATTACAAATATAATTCTCTATTTTTACTCTTTGTATTTACATAAAAATGAATGCAGGGATGTTGCTTATATAGCACCAAAAAAGCCTAGAAATTTGCAAAGCATTTAATGCCATATTAAATGCCTAGAGATTTGCAAGGCATGAAAACTACTCCTACAAGTTTTCCCCAAGCAAAAACCTATGCCCAAACCTCCTCCCATGCTTTTCTCTTAGGAGAAACCTTCTCCCATGGCATTTGTCTTATTCAAACCTAGCCCCATGCTTTTCCCCTTAGGCAAACCTCCTCCCAAACTTTTCCCCATAGGCAAACCTCCTCCCAAACTTTTCCCCATAGGCAAACCTCCTCCCAAGCTTTGCCTTAGAAAAACCTCCTCCCAACCTCATCCCAAGCTCGATCCATTCCACATTTTGACTTTAATATTTATATCCCCTTGATATAAATATCGCATTAAATGCGAGAGAGGAAGCGACATTTTTGACTGATTCTACATAATAATTATGCCTCGGAACCTTCCACCCATTGTCACCTAAGTCCTGAGCTTGATCCCTTATATTAACAAACCAACAAACCGATACTCATTTGTAAGAACAACTGTACTACCCAAATTAATATACGTACACTTTATAGTATTTACGCTATCAGTAAGGATTTCTGGTGGACGTATTTGTTGACATCATCAAGATTGGCAGCTCCAAGTCAAGGAGATGAATGGCTGCTATGGCCCAATGCGTGTTGGTTAGGAATATCATGAAGTCAAGACACGTTTTGATGGAAAGGTCCGGCATTTACACGCAGTACATCTTGGTTGTTCGATCTTCATTTTCGCCTATTCTATCTAGCATTCTATCAGTAGCCATGGAAGCTCTTTTTCTTGTTTTGCTTTTGTGGTTCTTACTTCCAATATCAAATATATGCATGGGAAAGGATTTAATTACCAAAACCCAATTCCTTAAAGATGGGAAAACCATCATTTCCGAGGGTGGAACCTTTGTAATGGGATTTTTTAGCCTGACCAATTCCTTAAACCATTACATAGGTATATGGTACAGACAAGTTCCTGTTCAGACGGTGGTTTGGGTTGTAAACAAAGATACTCCACTTGCTGACACATCTTCAGCAGTCTTGAAGGTCACCCAGGGAGGCCAACTCTCAATCCTGGAAGACAATAATGGTCTGGCTGTTTGGTCAGCAAATTCATCATCAGGATCGGTGCAAAATCCGGTTGCAGAGCTGTTGGATTCAGAGAACCTTGTGGTGAGAGATGCAGGCGATGGAACTTCATAGTTGTGGATGTTTGGACAAATTTTCGCCAGTTAATAATGCGACAAAAAGTTCGTCGCGGGGATGCCAAAGGAGAAAACCTTTGAATTGTCACAATAATGGGTCTTCATCTGATGGATTCCTCAAATATTCAGATGTCAAATTGCTAGATACAAAGCAATCTTGGTATGATGAATCTATGAGCCTTCAAGAGTCTGAACAAGTTTGCTTGAGGAATTACTCTTGTATGGCTTATTCCACTCTCAATATAAGCAATGGAGGAAGTAGGTGTTTGATTTGGTTTGGAGATTTGGTTGATATTATGAAGTAGGTGTTTGATTTGGTTTGGAGATTTGGTTGATATTATGACAGTACAGAATGGACAAGACATATACATCAGACTCGCTTCTACCGAAATACCTGGTATAGTATTACTCATTCAATTGTACATTGTTAGCGATTTTAGTCCCGATCTAACTTTTTACTATGGCAATATGTATGCTTAACTAGTAGTACAAACAAGTCGAGCTCGAGCTCGATAAATAATATGTAGGCTCGAGCTCAAGCTCAAAAATTGAAGCTCGAACTCGATTCAGTTATATATGAAACGAGCCGGCTTGACCTCGAAGTTGACCGAGCTCGAGCCGAGCTTTTACCGAGTTGCTCGGATATATATATATATATATATATATATATATATATATATATATATATATATATATATATATATATATATATATATATATATATATATATATATATATATATATATATATATATATATATATATATATATATATATATATATATATAGCTCATGAGCGGTTCGACGAGCCACGAGCCTAAAAAATTTGAGCTGGAGCTCGACTCGATTACTAAATGAGTCAAGCTTTGATCGAGCGGCTCGCGAGCTGCTTGGCTCATTTACACCCCTACTCCTAACTCTTCAAAAAAGTTGCATTTTTAACCCCGACCGAACAACAAAACTATTAAACTCTATTAAAATTTTACTTAGTACATGGATAGTTTAAAATTTTATTATCTTTGTTCTTTATAACATTGTCAATTTTGGTATTTCATATGCAAAATAGAGATTTGACAACATTCTTTGCTAAATTTTCCCTTTCCAATTGTGGCACATCGTCACTATATATTTTCCCTACATGGCACTATTAAAATCATGTTTGTTTTTTTTTTTTTATTTTATGGATGAAATATGAAACTAATCAAGATTATAATTAAAGAAGATCGAAACATTAAAAAGTATTAAAATACACATGTACTAAGTAAAATTTTAATAGAATTTAATAGTTTTATTTTGTTGCTCTATGGATTAAAACTGCAACTTTTTTGAAGAGTTGGGAGTGTATATTGCTAGGCTAAAAAGCTTGGGACTAAAATCGCTAACAATGAACAATTTAGGTAGGGCTGTGCAAAACCCGTCCAACCCGAACAACCCGTCCGACCCGCCCCACTGCTTAGCTATCGGAGTGGATACCCGTACCCGACTCTCCTTACCCGATCCGCCATTCAATACGGCGTCGGTTTAGAAGGTTCGGGTGGGGTGTACATTTTTGCCAACCGACCCGTCCGACCACCCGAACTATCCTAGGGTTCCCTAAGGCCTTGTATAATATGGCGTCGTTCCATCAATGTATATATACATGCCTTCCACCACTTGGTCTTCATTTTCTCATCCGCGCAGCTGACCTAGGGTTTGAGATCTGAGATCGCATCTCTCATTCTCTCGACTCTCAACTCTCTGTCTCTCTCACTCTCTCAGTCTCTCACTCTCTCAGAGTCTCAGACTCTCACTCAGTCACTCTCTTAGACTCTCAACTCTCTCAGACTCTCAGTCTCTCAGAGTCTCAGTTCTCTCAAGAGTCAAGAACTCAAGACTCGGCACGCATCAGTCATCTCTGATTCTGTAAATCCGTAAGGTAAATCTCTAATCTCTTAATCTCTATTTCTCTAAGCTCTAATCTCTTACAGTCTTATTCTGTAATCTGTAATCTCTAAATCTCTAATCTCTTAATCTCTATTGTCTAATCTCAGGGTTCTCAGAATCGAAGCGTTGCAATCTCTAATCTCTAATCTCTTACTCTCTGTCTCTGAGAGTCTAAGTGGTGGAAGCCGTGGTGATTACTGGTGAACTGGTGATTAGAAGCCCTTGTTCTCCCGGGATTATTTGGGAGAAATCAAGTAAATCGTAAACCCTAGTTTTATAATTTATATATCTTCATTTACAATGAGTCTGTGATGAATATTTGGTGATATATTCATATATTATGCTATTTGTTGGTGGAAGCCTTTTACAAACTGATTTCTAAGTGTTGATTTTGTGAAATCTGGATTTTATGCCATGCAAATTTGTAATCTAACAATCCGAGTTAAAGGCTAAAATGTGAAATCTCCAGTGTGGGAATTTCCATTTATTGGTGGAAGCCCTTAACTCAAATCCAGATAATGATGATCTGGACTGAGTTCCTGAATCTGGATTTGTTTGTATAATTGTATATGTTATTATGTCTATCAGTTTATGGATGTATGACCCTTAATTGGTAATTGTTAAATCTGGAAAAATGATGACACAAACTACTATGTCCATGTGTCTGATTCTGGATATCCTTGTATGTTTAATTGTTTATTATGTAATTTATGTGGTCTCAGTTCTCTCAGTTCTCTGTGACTATCTGAATATCTGATTTTGTTCAATATGTGGAAGTGTAATATGTAATACTTCTATGTATGATTGTATGGTGGAAGCTTTAATATGATTGTATGATTTGTAATCTCCCTAAAATGTGGATACTGATGCCCATCTTTATAGATGGAAAGCATCAGTGCAACTGGACACCCTCCAACCTCAACTGATGAGGAGCATGGAGTAGAAGCTCAAGGTACTGAGAGAAATCCTCAGACAAATCCTATGCCTTCTCCTCCTGTTGTTCCTACAAAGAAGAGGAAAGAGGTGGAGTCTAGATCTATAGTATGGGATCATTTTGAAAAGATCCGTGCTCCACCTGCTGAAGGTGAAACTGAGGGACCAGTAGTTGAGGGCAAATGCCTTTATTGTGCCAAAATTTATAAATGTGAAAGTAAAAAGCATGGCACTTCCTCTTTGAAAAACCATATGAAGGCCTGCCTAAAAAATCATCATTGTAAGGACACAAGGCAGTCTCTTCTCACCTTTAATGCCTCTGGAACAGAAGCTTCTGGGGGGGTTTTGGGGACTTGGGTTTTCAACCAAGAGGCTATTAGGAGGGCATTGTGTGAGATGATCATTGTTGATGAACTTCCCTTTAGGATTGTTGAGGGAAATGGCTTTAGGAAATTCATTTTAGTTGCTTGTCCTAGGTTTCAAATCCCTTCTAGGTGGACCATTTCTAGAGACATTTATCAGATTTACCTAGATGAGAGAATAACCCTAAAAAAGTTGTTTAAGGTGAGCACCCAAAGGGTCAGCTTGACCACTGATACATGGACCTCTGTCCAAAGGATCAATTACATGTGCATTACTGCACATTTCATTGATGATCAGTGGAAGCTAAACAAAAAGATCATTTCCTTTGTCCCAATTTCTTCTCATAAGGGAGAGTATATAGCCAAAGCCCTTGAGAGTTGTCTTCTTGATTGGGGGATTAAAAATGTCTTCACTGTTACTGTTGATAATGCCTCTTCAAATGACACAGCTTTGAGGTTTTTCAAGAACAAACTTCTGTCTTGGGGTGGGTCTTCTGTTAGGGTTCAATATATGCACATGAGGTGCATAGCCCATGTGTTGAACTTAGTGGTCCAGGATGGGTTGAGATATGCAGGTCCTTCTGTTAAGAAAGTTAGAGATGTTGTGAGATGGGTGAGGAGTTCTCCTGCCAGACTTAAGAAGTTTAGAGAGATTGCTGTGCTTAATGGGGTGGAAGCCAAATGTGCATTACAACTTGATGTTCCAACAAGATGGAACAGCACATACATGATGCTTAACACTGCCCTTCAATACCAGAGGGCCTTTGAAGCTTATGAGAATGATGCCTCATTGAATGCTGACTTATCTGATTCTATTCCAAATTTTATGGATTGGCTTTCTGTGCAAAGCTTAGTCCATTTCCTGAAAGGCTTCTATGAGATGACTGTGAGAATATCTAGTTCTCTCTATGTCACTTCAAATACTTTCTTTTCTGAGATTTCTGACTTAGGTTGCATGCTGGATGACATGGTTAACTCTGTTTCAACCTCTGAAAAGGTAAACACTAAACTGTTAACATTTTTCTGAATGTGTTTGTATGCATCTGTTAATTTTTTCTGTGTTATGTCTGTTTTATAGGAAATGGGGTCCCATATGAAACAAAAATTTGAAAAATATTGGGGAGATCCTGAAAAAATGAACTTCTTGATATTCTATGCCAATATTTTGGATCCTAGGGATAAGATTGAGTACATGCCTGCCCAATTTGCCCAGTTGTATGGTGATGAAAAAAGAAAATCATGCTTTGAAAAGGTTCAATCTTCTATGGTTCTGCTGTTTAATGATTATACAGCCACCTACCATGTGCAGTATGCATCCCCTACTGTGCAACCTACCCAATCTGAACCTGTCCATTCTCAAACTTCAGTTGGAAAACCTCAGGCTAGAATGAAAAGCCAGCTTAAAAAACAGAGAATGGAGACTGGTGGAAGCAGTAAAGAAACTGAACTCCAGATTTATCTAAGTGAAAAATTAGTGGAAGATGAAGAAAATGTGGACTTTGATGTCCTAAGATGGTGGAAGGTTAACAGTGATAGATTTCCTATACTCTCTAGAATGGCAAGGGATGTGCTGGCTGTTCCCATTTCAACTGTTGCCTCTGAGAGTGCATTCAGTACTAGTGGTAGGGTATTAGATCCCTTTAGGAGTTCCTTAACTCCTAAAATTGTTGAAGCCCTAGTATGTGCACAAGATTGGTTGAGGGCACCCAATCATCCAATCTCTGTTGAGGAAAACTTGGATGATGTTGAAAGACAAGAGAAGGGTACCTTTTCTAACTTTTTAGGTTTCAACTTTAGAAATTGTTAATTGTTACCTTTATTCTAAACTATTTTTTTGTTTATCCTTTTTGTGCAGAATTGTCCACTGGAGCTGCTGGTTCTTTACCAAGTGCTGTTGGAACACTCCCAACAATACTTTTATATAACATTGCTTTCTGACTTTCTGTTTAGTTTGATTGATAAATGTGTGGACTCTTTGAGGCAACTCAGGTAAGATTCCAGAACTGCTAATTGCTAAGTGGCTTGGTAACTTTTTTATAAATGTTGCTGCCCTTAGGCCTTAGCCCCTTACTCAGTTACATCTCTGGAATTCTGGTATATCACTTCCCTTCCTCTCATATTCTCCTTTCTGTTTAGTTATTATGACTATGATGATGCTTCCACCATTTGTCTGAATTAAAAGGACTTTGGGTGTTTGGTATGTTGCTCTGAGACAAAACTCATGAAGCAATTTCCCCCCAACTCTAAAATGATATGAAAAAAAGCAATCTGAGCCTATCTTATTAATTATTATTAGTTCTCTACTTCTCTTTGTCTTTATTGGCTTTAAAGTTTAAATCGTTTAATGGTTTTATAATTGAGCAGGAAGATGAGGAATGGATGAATGCTGATTGCTAAAGGCTGATTGGTGAATGCTGAATGCTGACTGCTGAGTACTTTAGTAATTAGTATTTAGTACTTATTAGTTTAGTGTTGTTGATTTTCTCATTTTGTGAACTTCATTTTTGCTTTTTGAACTGCAATATGTAATTATGTAATTATGTATGTAAATGCCTACATAACTTTGGTAATTTAGTTTAGGGTTATTACAATATTACTTATTAAGTTTCAACATTTTTAAAGTTTTTTTTTTTTTTTTTTTAATTTTGGTATGTTTTATAATCCGACTACAAACCGAAATCCGAACCCAACCCGACCGTATCCGAACAGGTGAAATCCGAGAGGATTTCCCTCTTAATTCGAACGGATTGGAGTAGTTTTCCCCAATCCGAAATCCGATCGGATGGACGGATTGGCCATCCGATCCGTCCGAACCCAACCGATGCTCAGGCCTAAATTTAGGAACTAAAATTGAGTTTTTTCTCACTAATATTAATGTGTTTATAATCACTTTGACAGCCTCATAATAAAGTTGAAATGACAAAGTGTTTTGGAACTACAGGGTTAAAAGCAGAACCAATTCATTCAAGCTCAAAGGGGAGGAAAATAAAAGTGCTTTTGCTTTGTTTGTCGCTGCTAGTTGTAATAGTCCTTGCAGGAGTGGTATTTTTGCAAAACAAAAAACACAGAACAAAAGTTGAAGGAAGAATTAGACCTACCAATATTCGACTGGTCAACAATATCAAGAGTCACAAATAACTTCTCAGAGAAGAACAAGTTAGGCTGGGGTGAATTCGGAATTGTGTACAAGGTAAAAATATTTGTAGTTTTCTTGGATGGGCATGTACAATGTTTTATTGTCTTAATTTTAAATTCTTAGGGTGTTCTGGATGGGGGAGAAGAAATAGCTGTGAAGAGGCTATCAAAGAATTCTACACAAGGACTACAGGAATTCAAGAATGAAGTCATCAGTATAGCCAAATTGCAACATCGAAATCTTGTGAAACTTCTGGGGTGCTGCATTAGTGGGAAAGAAAAGATGTTGATCTATGAATATAGAGTAAATACCCAAAATGGTCCCTCGACTATAACTAAATTCACAAATTGGTCCTCGACTTTCAATTTCAACCAATTAAGTCCTTAACTTTGTAATTTTAACACGATTTGGTCCTCTATCTATTTGACCGTTTGTTGACCGTGATCGACGATCTCCAGAAGAACTTTCAGCTCTCGTCGGAGCACGTGGAGGCCTCCAAGATGACGTTGCACTGATTCGGAAACACGTCGTCTTCTTCGCTCTGGTACGAACTCAACTACATTGAATCCAAAGGGAGGATGAAGAAAGGCGACCGTATTTGGTAGATTGCTTTCGGCAGTGGATTCAATTGTAACAGTGTGGTCTGGAAATGCAACCAGAGGCTTACAAAATCGACGATGGACCATGAAATTACATATATATCCTAAAAATCACAGTCAACAAACGGTCAAATAGACAGAGGACCAAATTGTGTTAAAATTACAAAGTTAAGGACTTAATTGGTTGAAATTGAAAGTCGAGGACCAATTTGTAAATTTAGCTATAGTCGAGGGACCATTTTGGGTATTTACTCATGAATATATGCCTAACAAAAGTTAGGACTTCTTCATATTTGGTATGGTTATCTTTTCATATATAATCTAATCGTGTATAAAAGTTTTTGGAACAAAACTAACTAAAACCTTTTGTAGATCAAACAAAGAAAATGTTACTCGATTGGCCAATCCGCTTTAGCATAATTAATGGAATCGCTCGATGATTATTATATCTCCATCAAGATTCTCAATTAAGATTAATCCATAGAGATCTCAAAGCTAGCAATGTTTTGCTTGATATTGATTTAAACCCAAAGATATCAGACTTTGGTTTGGCTAGGAGCATGGGAGGAATTGCAACCAAAGATAACACAAAACGAGTTGCTGGAACACATTAAGAATTTGAATTTCCAACTTAATAAGATCATATACTACTATTACATTTTATTATTTCATAAGGTCATCTTCTCATTTGTTATCACCCATATTATGTAGTGGGTATATGTCTCCAGAATATGCAGGGCATGGGATCTTTTCAATTAAATCAGATGTGTTTAGCTTTGGCATTTCAATACTTGAGATAATTAGCGGTAGGAGAAATAGTGAGTTTATCAATGAAGATCAATATGAGACTCTTCCCAGACATGTAAGTATTCCATTTTATATATATATGTTCCTGCAGGCCATTAATTCATTTTTTAATGTTGATAATAATTTTTCTTTGTATGATTTTAAATATTACATAGACATGGAAGCTTTATATAGAAGGAAAATCAATTGTGCTAGCTGACGAGCATATAGTTGATTCATATGATGTAGCTCAAGTTCTAAGGTCAATCCATGTCGGCCTTCTATGTGTGCAACAACGCCCAGAGGATAGACCAAACATGTCTTCTGTAGTTCATATGTTGATAAATGATGTTGCATTGCCTCAAGCTAAAGAGCTTGGCTTCTTTGTTGGCAAGGAATATGCTTCAGGTACACCTGCAAATCTTCCCAGAATGAGGTTACAATCACATCACTAAATCCTCGTTGAATGTATAACTTAAAGATGTATATATACTTATAAACATGACAAAAACTACTATATACATAGCATATATGTCTACAAATAGTATTAGCCACAACACACTGCAATGTGTACCATGATATGCAATCGCAATTCTAATGTATTACGCCAATGATGTATTATTATACTATTCTCTTGACATTTACCTCCTCTATCTTCTCTCCTGTTATTGTCATTTTGATTTTCAAGTATGTTATAATATTAAAATAAAACGAAAATAAGTGAGGAGAGGATTGAATATGGCTATCCCCATCCCAACCACCCTACCCATTTCTTACTCTGTTATGAAAATGAAGAGTGAGAGTTTTTAATGTGCTGTCGTATATTGTCTCAAACTGTCATTTAGAAAAGAGAATACAAAGCCCTATAAATAGGTGCTAAGACTACGAATAGAAAACAAGTTTCCATATGTCCTACCTACCTAAATCTCTAAACTGCCTAATATATAGATATTCTATATATCAAATATATATTCTACCACTCCCCTCAAGTTGGAGCATATTTTTTAATAATGCCCAACTTGTTACACAAATGAGTGATAACCCAAAATAACTAAATAACAAATAACTCAAGTCTATTTAGGACACTCATTTGAAACGAAAGCCTTGAACGCCACCAATCCCACAAACAACGGGTGAACACAAAGTGACCGAACAAGCTTGAGATTGGATACGCATACTCCCCTTGCAACGAAAGCCTCGAACGCCACGAATCCCGCGAACAACGGGTGAACACAAAGTGACCGAACAAGCATGAGATTGGATACTCATACTCCCCCTCCAACGAAAGCTTTGAACACCACCAATACCACAACTCCGGGTGAACTTAAAGTGGACTGAACAAGCTTGGACACACAAAGTAAAGAAGACAAATTCCAAACTGGAGGACACAAATTCTTTACTAGCAAAAGGGAAGTATCTTGTAACAAAAGGGGAGCATGCTCAAACAACGAGCATAAAAAAAGGAGAGACATCACCTAAACAAAGGAGAGAAGGCACCAAAACGAGATAGGACCTAAACGAGACAAAACTAACACACAAAACGAGACAGCACCAAAATACAAAATGAGACAGCACTAAAATACACAACGGACTCCATCCTTCTAGAGGTCATGAACATAAAGACCCCTAGACGCAAGCCCCTCACCAATAACCCTCTTCGTCACAAGATTCCAAGGCAGCAACAACAATCGTAGTGACCGGAGCAGACGAATGTTTTAGAGACTCTTGGTATTGAGAAAACTTAGCAAACTCATCAGCACAGATAGAGACCATCTTGTCATATGGATCAGGACCAACCGTCTTGGCAGACGTATAAAGTGCAGATGCAACATGTGTAGAATTGTTCCCCCCGTTCTTATTCAAAAGCTTCCTACAATCATTCTTCATGTGTCGAGGCTTATGGCAATAATTACACACAACACCGCTTAAATGCCTAGAGTTGCGACTGGTTCCATTGTGCAGATGTTGACCAACGAGAGCACTGGTCAGTGGGACCATCACCTCATGCATACTTGGTTGTGATTGCGCTGATCGAAGCAGTCGTGGAAGTATATTAGTCAAAGTAGGGATCTCAAAGCCACTAAGAATTGTTGACCTCACCATGTCAAACTCAGGAGGGAGACCTGCCAAGAAACTCATAACAGTCATTTGTTCACGTTGCTTTTGTTGTGCCTTGATATCATCACTGAATGGCATAAGCTTATTACGGGACTCATTTGTTCTCTTAAAGTCCATAAAATAACAAATTCTATTTTTCGGCCCGGTAAAAAGCCTTACACACATCATAAATACGAGTAATATTCCCCTTCCCAGAGTACAAGTACTCCAAATACTCCATAACTCCTTAACGGAAGCACAATGACTAATGAACCCAACAATACTATCATCAATAGAATTCCGGATTTGCAGAAACAAACGTGCATCATCCCGCACCCAAGACTAATCTTGGTCAGCCAAAGGTTTAGTTAGATATTCCCCTTTACCCAAACTAGTGAGATAAAGCTTAATGACTTGAATCCACTCCAAGTAATTAAAATCATTAAGCTTACAGTCTGTGATTTTAGAAGTCACATGAACAATATCAGTTACAACAACCGACTTATTTTCAGCCATATCCACCAAAAACTAAGCACAAACAGATTAGAAAACACACAGAAAAGGGAACCTAAATGGGTATGAAACAACCTGACCGTAGAACAAAAAATCACGGAAGCCAAATGGTCCAAACTAAGTCCAGAACCGATGAGAGAGGACTTAGGCGACCCAGGAACAGGCGACGGAAAAATTTTCCGGTCATCGGAGAAGCTGCACGCGCCGGTGCATGGGGCGAGTGGCGGCAGTTTGCGGCGGCGCGTGAGCTTCACGCACAGTCCAGAACGGTGTCGAACTTCACAGGTAAGGTCGTCGGTTGCCGGCGAAGCTTCATAGATAGGTGGTGACAGCAGTGGAGTGAAAAAAAATCGCTTTATCATAAAGGCTCAGATACCATATTACGAAAGTGAAGAGAGAGAGTTCCCAATTGTCGGATTATATCCTGATCCAATGAAATCGCACCAGATCCATGAAAACTTAAATCAACCCAATATAACTTCAAAACTCAACACCAAACTGTACAATTTTGCACACAAAGAGCCCAACCTAATCCATCCGCTTTCTTGTTCCCATGATAAGCTAGGTTGGTGCCACTGTTTGGTTAGCTTCATCTTACTATGAAAATTAAAGCAACTATTCAAATTTCAACCAGCAAAAATCAAATTCCATGGTTGGCATTTAAATACTCCCCAAGTAATAACCCATTACTAAAATTCTGCAATTCATTTTCAGGACTGCAAATGCATCACTGTTAAGGCAGCTGCAGAATGCAAACTTAGACTCTGTGTAGTACTATAGAATTGTAAACAAATGCAAACAAAATAAACATTAGAAAGGAATGAAAAAAAAACAAACTAATACAACTCAATCAATATTAATTTGATCCAACACATTACTCATTTAGCCTAGCTACCTCCAATTACATTTGTGGTCTTTTCCTATTCTGAAAACAATCATGCCAATAACTTTTAGCATCTGATCCTTCTGTAAATAAATTCCAAGAAAATCTGAATGAAACTAAGGGCATTGCATGCAGATGAAGATGTCCTATACAAGATCACTCAGATGGCCTTAGGCCAAAAAAAACCACTACAATTTGTAACAATCTCCTAGGATAGCGTTTCAGAATAAACCGATCGAGGAATTGGTCAGCAAGATGCGCCTATGTACTACAAGACAACATGTGCTTCATCCCCGATAGCCATGTAAATGTTTTGCCCATCGTCTTGCCATGAAAGGGTCATGATATTCCCATGTTTCGACGCTGCTAGGTCTTCCCAGGATGCTCGGGACAGGGACACTGTCAATGCTGCTTTCGCTGCTATCTCTTTTATCGTCAATCCCCACTGCTACCTCTCCCGTTTTAACAGAATCGTCGAACATGGCATCCTCGTAGCTGTACTCTACATGAACCTGCCCAGACTCCCCGAGAATCAACGGAACTCTCCTCTCCTCCCCGGCTCTCAGCTCCCCAAGCCTCACAGTCCTCGAGTCCTCCCCGATCCTCAGCTGGACTTCCCTGACTGTACCACCAAGGATTCTCGCAAGAAACCCTTCGAATTCACGCATGACGAACCCGTTCGAGGTTCCAAACCCTAACCCGACGTGAAATTTGTGGGTTGTAATTGGCAGCTCAGCGTCAAATGGATGGTAAGATCTTGTCGGGCTGTCGGACAAATGTAGCATAAAAGAGTGCGGGTTTTGGTATGTACGGTCTTGAAGTATTTTCACCCCTTTCCTGAGCCCTTCAACCGGATCCGCTTGCCCCATATAGAAAAGCCGATCAATGACTTGTAATGCTGTCCGTTTCCCATAAGATGTCATGCGTTTGAGAGGGAAGATGCGAGCTGCAGCAGAAGAATACGTGACGATAGCCAACCGGTCCATCGGTCGTAGAGCAAATACCACTAACGCCATTGCTTGCTTCATAAGCCTTAGGTGCGGGCCATTTGGGCTAGCAACTAAGACCAAATCCGTAGCGGGGTGATGAGCTAATGTTATGGAAAGATATGCCCGATTAGCGGAGATTGAATTGTACAGCATAAGGTTCCGCCCAGCCACAGGAGATTCTAGCAATAACGACGGACTAGAATAATGTTGCGATTCATGGCACAACCTAGCCCCCGGTTTCTGATTCGAGCACAGATTATAGCTAGAGTGAACCAAAGGAACAGGCATTAAAGAGAAATGGAGTCTGGGAAGATCTGTCGAGCGGTCAGGTTCAATTGGATCATCATCATCATAGCGAGCAGAGCGTAGAAACGAGCGCCTATGCACCCTAAAAGTGGCAATCGAGTCATCCAAGATCTGTAGTATAGGATCAGCCTGATTCCGATGCAAAGAACAATGGGTGTGTAGGTTGCGAGGTAGTTGGGTCCAAAGCGAACGGCATATGGGACAGGTAACACTGCCATGTCGGATGTTCGAAGATATGCAATCGAAATGGAAAGCGTGAGAACACTGTGCGGTGAAGATAGCCTGGGCCGGGCTGCTGCTCGAGCCGTAATTCAATGGATCAAGGCATATAGCGCAAAGATTCTGTAATACATTCAAAACACAAGCATAAGACCAACAAAACACTATGCAATAAGTGACTTATGAATCATGAATCTTAAGACCAATTAAGAAATATTAGTAACATACTAGTAAAGTCAGATTATAAGGAAATTAAACACATCTTGTTCTACCATTATAATGTCTAAGGCCACGCTAACCACAGATTCACGGAACTCTCCATACATTTCTTAGCAGTCAAAGAATCTTGATTCCAGACACAAAACAAGAGGAAGAAGGAAAATCTCGCTTCGAGGAGACGAGGAAAACTATTAGTAAGTGTAATGTAATCTGTGTTCTTCATTGATAAATGGAGGAATGCAGCTCAAAGAAATATAGTCTGCAATTTCCCTTTCCAAATGGGATGTGTGCTTTGAAAGGTGGAACTGCCCAAGCCCCAAAGACCCATAAATTTTGAATTTTAGAATACCAAAAGTTGATGAATTCAAGAACATTTTCTCAGTGAGATCAAGGACTAGATTGCAGTAGGAGTGGAAGAAACTCTGAAGCATTTTAGTGGGAATATAAAACACATCTCAGCCTTTCTTATATTTAAATATTTCTTTGGAAAAAAATAGGGGAAGATGGGAATGCAGGAAGAGAATACACACATATGAAGATTGAAGATAAACAATAATGAATTTTAGGCAGATTATATTTCAGTGGTGATTTTACCTTATTAGAAGCGGATTTAGCGGTGGAATCTAATTGGTACGACGGTTTAATTTGGCAAGAATTGCTTGTGAGTTCTGCGATGATCGGAGAATCAGGAAACGCCTGAATTCAGAAAAACGAAAATCATTAGTTCCAAACGGAGACCCACACCACCAAACCCACCAAAGATTCAAACTTTAACTTAATTCCGCAATCGGGTATCTACAAAAACTGCAAACGTCAATGTACAGAGTCACCGGCGGGGAATAAATTCCGCCGGAGAGGGAAAGAGGGCTTACAGTATCGGCGGCGGCGGCGGCGGAGTCAAGAACAGGGGTGCGGTGTCTCCGGGAGAAGGAGCCACAGGTTTGAACTAGGATCTTTTTGGCAGCTTTCTTGAGCTTTGACGACGCTCCTCCTCCTCCTCCTCCGGTAGCCATTCCAGGCGCCGGCGGGACTGTTTTGCTCCGGCGGTTTTCTTTACCAATTGGGAATTATAAAGTGCGGTAGTGGAATACGGTACAAGTGGTGTTGCCACTTATTATTTCACCTTGGCTTCAATTATTGAAAGTATGTCAGTTTGGGTTTTACATTTGCAGGTTTTACACAATCTAACTTTGGGGGCTGTGATTAAAGACTTGCCCTTTTCCTTTTTCTTTTTCAAAAGCATGCGTTTGTTCCTTTGCCACCTTAATTTCATTTTCTCTAACTAATATATGTCATGTAGAAACATAATTAAATGATTGTAGTACATGTACTAACCTCTAGCGTGAGTATCTCCGACGTTTTTCTCTCACTTCTGATCAACTCTCTCTAGATGATGTATGATCAAGAAAAATTAATGTGCCAGTGAAAGAACTGGGAACCTTAAATAACAGCATTTTAATGGAACTGAGAACCTTAAATAACAGCATTTTAATGGAGAATCTTAAATAACAGCATTTTAATGGTAGATCAGAAGTCGTTACCTTCGACTATGAAGAATCTGATTCCTAAATGCTGATACCAGGTTAGTTCAAGATTTTCAATCATATTCAGTTATTCCGATCGAGTAGGTTACATGGTATATACCAATACACAGGATAGAAGTTAAGTCTAATAATAAAAATGTTACAATTTCTTTATTTATTTAAACATGTCTTACTTATTAAGCTATCTGTACACGCAGACAATGTGTATGAATTGCAAACTTACAAGTTCATATTCACATCATTTTTAAATTTTTCGTTTTTAATCTAATCGTATTTCAAGAATTGAAAAATCGTTATAAATTTGACACCGTCAACATTGCATGGCCCTTTTTAAAATAAAATTAAAAATTATTTTTAGTATCATATTATTATTATACGGAGTATTATATTTTGAGAATGAATTGAAACTAATATATATATATATATATATATATATATATATATATATATATATATATATATATTCAATTTTTATGTAAAATGTAGTATTTTCAAAAGATGTATACGTTGAAGATTGTGAACAAATACAAATAAATGGTCACATCAGAAAACAAATATGCCGGTGGCTATAATAACATTTGTTACCTGAATTAAATACATATGTTAAAAATGTCATGTCACTATTTTCATAGCTTTGTCCAATAATGGTGCGGTCGAAGATCATTTTCATAAGATTTTATTATCTTGACATTAATTAAAAAAAATTAAAATTTTTGTACGGAGTAGTTTTTAGTCAAATCTTTCAAAATAGTTCAATATTAAATTTTAATGTGTTTGTATAATTTTAATTACATTTTAAAAAAAAAGTTGATAAAAATATGATTCCATTTTATTAAAAGTTGATTTGATTTAAATTTACTAATATTATTCCTTACATAGAAATATTGTTGTAAAATTACGTATAAATCTATCTATACTAATAATAAAAATAAAATTTTACATTTTAACTTTCCGCCAAAAATAGTCATATGTTTGCGTAATATTGTAAAACAGTGTAATACAATTTCTAATATGTTGTTTCCTACTTTTCTATTTGTACTACAATTCTACATTAAAATTCTTATTCTAATATTGTAAAAATATTAAAATAGTATAATAAAATTTTTAATAGAATATATTGTTTCTTACTTTTTTATTCGTACAATTCTACATTAAAATTCATATTCTAATATTGTAAAATAATGTAATACAATTCCTTATAGAATATATTATTTCCTACTTTTATATTTGTATTACAATTCTACATTAAAATTCATATTCTAATATTGTAAAATATTGTGATACAATTCCTTATAGAATATATTGTTTATCCTACTTTTATATTTGTATTACAATTCTACATTAAAATTCATATTCGTAATGCAATACAACAATATTAAAATTCATATTCCTATTCAGCAATATTAAAATTTTCCCGTCAAATGAGATTAGCAATATGAATGCATTTATTGTCTTTACATTTATTAGTAAATTTTTATATTTAAATATTTAATATATATAATTTGTGTGTATATTCATTTAAACCTCAATTATAATTAATTTGATCCCACATATATAAAAAGGAGTCTTACATAAATAATCATTTTCAAATGAATAAGTTTTTTGTGGAGATTTTCGACAAATATTGCTTATTATTTTATTTATAAATTTTATTTAAATACGTTAGCTATGTAATTAAATTAGTTATTTCAAATTCAAATTCAAATAATAATACTTTTTTTTTTGAATTCAATTCAAATAATAATACAAGTAACAATAAACTTTAAAATCAACATAACAATAACATAATTAAACTTTTAAAAATATTAAATATTAATCTTCAAAAAAATATTAAATATTACATTGTATAGTTATATTTATATTATTAATAAAACTAATTCTTCTTAATTAGTATCATAACATTACAACAATACTTATAAATTTTGTTCATGCATTGCATGGGAGAAATACTAGTTATATTAAAATTACAATGATAGGTTATATAAAACATACAGATGCTGAGATGAGTGCAATTATGATTATAAAAGTTAATATTATATATATTCTTAGGTAGGGTCTGAGTGCTTTTTCTTTTAATCATTTTTTTAATTAAGACTGAAATATTCTCTCATTAAGAATTTGAATCTGATTAATATTTACAGGGACACTACATTCAGACTTAACATTTCGATCATTGAAGTATGTCCCGGGGCTTTAATTACACATGTGTTTGTATATATTATATGAAAGTTAATTAAATGGAATGTTGGGATCTGATCTATCACTGTTTATGCAATATTTTAGAGGGTGTTAAACATTAGGAAAATATTCAGAATACTATCCTTATAAAATTTTAATATTGACATTTTCATTGGGACTCACATGATGAAGATATTAATCATCAATTACTACTTCAGAAAGTAAAAGTAAGGGAGTAGAAATATGTAATAGAACTCTTCTCCCGAAAGCAATAGTTATGTTGTGCAACGGTTGCAAAACGACGTCGTTTTGACTAAAAACGCGCGTCCCATTTTAAAAAAAAAAATACATTCAGTTTGGATTCCCCTCAACAGCATTATTGTGGATATATAGTTATGAATTATTGTGGATATATAGTTATGAATTTGTGGATATATAGTTATGAATTTGTGGATATATAGTTATGAATTTATGGATATTTAGTTCATTCATTGTGGATGTTTAGTTCATTCATTGTGGATATTTAGTTCATTCATTTTGAATTTTGTGTTATTCATTCATTGTGGATATATAGTTATGAATTTGTGGATATATAATTCAAATCATGCACAAAAAAAAAATGTTATTGCTGGGAATCGAACCTAAAATTTTTTTTAAAGTGGGACGCGCGTTTTTAGTCAAAACGACGTCGTTTTTGCAACCGTGTGCACCATACATGGTGCACACGGTTGCACAGCATAATTTGCGCAAAAAGTTGAATCCCAACTCAACGGCTCCTCACACTCTGGCCTGACAGAACATTTGGAAGGATGTAAATCACGATGACTCAATGATTCAGCAAACAAGGCCAAATGCTGGTGCGTACAAATGATCTGTCCACTTTGAACATAATTCTCATATATCGCTGCTGAAGTTCAAACCTTGATCTCTTTAATTCTCTTAAATATTGCCTACTGAACCAGTGAGCTAAATTCGTACGGCGTATATGCAATAATATAACTCGACTTGGATGGATGTGGACAGATATAATAAGAATTTAGTATTGAAGTATGTGTAGTTTCAAAACACAAAAGCTAAAATGAAACACATTCAAGCTTAGGGATGGCAACGGGGCGGGGCGGGGGCGGGGAGTATACTCCCCGTCCCCGTCCCCGAAACCCCGACCCCATCCCCGTCCCCGTCCCCATCCCCGGCGGGGAATTGAAAACAACCCCCATCCCCGTCCCCGCGGGGAATTAGGCGGGGACAGGGATTCCCCGTCCCCGATTAATTCTTAATCAAAATTTTAAATTAGTGTAATTTTTAATTTTAAAAACTAAAAAGTTAAATCTTAATTTTATTTATATATATATATATATATATATATATATATATATATATATATATAATGTAATAGTACGTACTGCCTTAGCATTTCATTACTTTATATTATTTATATTTATTTATTTATTTTTAATAATAATAATTATTCGGGGACGGGGCGGGGCGGGGAGGGGTATCCCCGTCCCCGTCCCCGTCCCCGACGGGGAATTACAAACATTTCCCGTCCCCGTCCCCGTTCCCCGAAAATTTTCTACATCCCCATCGGGGATTGGGGATCCCCATCGGGGACGGGGCATATTACCATCCTTATTCAAGCTTGGACAGCAAAAGCAGGAAAGTGTACAAATGATAAAGACGAAAGAAGTAGACAAGAAAGGGAACACGAAGCTACTAGAGAACGGCAGGGAGAGAAGACAAAACTCCAAAGCAACTAGTAGTACTAATAAAAGTATAAAACAGCCAAAGGAGATCAAAAAGAATTATTTGATCAACCAATCATATATCAACTATTTATCTATTATATTATATTATACTAATAACTAATAAGAGCCAATAAAGTATCACACGCACACGGAAATATAAAGAATTGACAATGAAAGAAAAAATAAGTTTGATCAACCAGTCATATATCTACTATCTATTATACTATACGGTATATTGTAAGTTTAAAATCAATCTCACTATTTAAGGAATATTTGTAGAGTTTTAAGGAGAAAAGTTTTATAGAGTGCATTGTATAGTAGAGTTTATCAAAGGAGAAAAAGTTAGTACATTTTGCAAATTAAAAATGATGAGGTTTACCTAGGAAAAAAAAATGTTTGTAGAGTTAAGTCCAAAGAAATATGAGAAGTCTGGATTCATGGATGGATTTAGTTATTTATATTTGTGACAAAAAAAAAAAAAAAAAAAAAAAAAAAAAAAAAAAAAAAAAAAAGGAAGTCTTACTACGTATAAAAGAGTGTATAAATGTTCATGACCTTGCATTCAAAAAAATGTTCATGACCTTTTAATTAAATACTAATGAACTTTTAAATATTTATTTAATAGTATAAATATGAATCAAATACTGCTAAATTTTTAAAGACTTTTTACCTTATGAATCGAATACAATTAAACTTTTAAAGACTCTTTAAAAATTTAAATATATTCCCTTGAAAAGTCTATAAAAATTTATAAAAAAATCATAGGTATT